TGTAAATACAATAAATAAACTTGTATTACAGTGGGCATGGCATGTATTCTTGCCCAATGGGGCAAATGGGTTAAACAATGTTCAACTCTATAGGCCTATATGTTTCCATCATCTAGTTTCATGTATAATTATTATTATTTGTTTAATATTCTTCAGAAAATTTTACAAAGAATTGTATCACTGCTTTCATCATATATATTCCCTCTATTTGGATTAGTGGATGTTTTCTGAAGAAGGACATTTAAAGGTAAAAATACCAGTATCCCATGATAATAAAAAGCTTTAACTTCCACAAGTTAACCCTTATGATCCAGACAACATAACCATCACATCATGAAAAAATTTGGCTGAGCGCCGGGGTGACAGGAACTTGCGGTAATGAAAGGGAGAGGGAGAGGGAGAGGGAGAGGGAGAGGGAGGGGGAGAGAGAGAGAGAGAGAGGGAAAGAGAGAGAGAGAGAGAAAGAGAGAGAGGGGGGGGTGTAGGAGAGAGAGAGAGAGAGAGAGAGAGAGAGAGAGAGAGAGAGAGAGAGAGAGAGAGAGAGAGAGAGAGAGAGAGAGAGAGAGAGAGAGAGAGAGAGGGAGAGAGAGAGGGAGAGAGAGAGGGAGAGAGAGAGGGAGAGAGAGAGGGAGAGAGAGAGGGAGAGAGAGGGAGAGAGAGGGAGAGAGAGGGGAGAGAGAGGGAGAGAGAGGGAGAGAAGGGGAGAGAGAGAGGGAGAGGGCGAGAAGGAGAGAGAGAGAGGGAGAGGGCGAGAAGGGGAGAGAGAGAGGGAGAGGGAGAGAAGGGGAGAGAGAGAGGGAGAGGGAGAGAAGGGAGAGAGAGAGGGGGATAAGAGAGAGAGGGGGATAAGAGAGAGAGAGAGAGAGAGAGAGAGAGAGAGAGAGAGAGAGAGAGAGAGAGAGAGAGAGAGAGAGAGAGAGAGAGAGAGAGAGGGTAAGAGAGAGAGAGAGAGAGAGAGAGAGGGTAAGAGAGAGAGAGAGAGAGAGGGGGGTAAGAGAGAGAGAGAGAGAGAGAGATGAGCCAATATGTGCTGTATGATGCAGTAGTAGCAGTCTCGTCCAGCAATCTTGCTGACCCTCATTCAATTCCTGCTCACTGCCGGCAGATGGTAATCACTGCCATTCCTTGTACACAGAGGGGTAATTTAGAAGCAAAATGAAACAGACAGCTTGTTGCACCAAGAATAACAATTGTAACAAATGAAATATAACTAACTTATCATTATTATCAAAAAGTTATTATTAGTGACCAGTGTTTGATCACAGTATTCATCAGTTTCTAAGATTAGTGGGAGTAAAGTATGACCAGTAATCTGGATGTGTTAACAGGAGGGTTTCCTGCTTTCTCTCTTACAGAGTGCGTGAGTTAATGCCATAGGGAATGCACAACATACTGATATGCAGTTGTGCAAATTAACCCATTGCCACTGGGGAAAATGAACAAAAAATGGGGGGAATGCAGTACTCATTTTTTATATTTTTGTGAAATATCTCTGTCCAAAGATGGCTCTGCTAGTCCTGATTTCACCTTTCCTTGAATTGGCGGGAAAAAAAAGTATTTTTACTAGTGCTATGAATATAGATGGTGTTATTTTTAACAGCAAATTAGGATAACGTTAAATATTTTCGTAAATCAATGAAAAGAGCGAACGGGCGAGACAGGCAGTACTCGTAATTGGCTCATTGGATACTTAGTACAAGTGTAGCCATCTATATGTAACAACAATCGTACAAGTTGACTCACTGTGGGCATGGTATGTACGTATATGCCATCCTCGGCGGCAATGGGCTAATATATACAGTTTGTTCCCGATATATTGAATTCATGACCCCTTATAAAACCAACAAATAAGACAAATCATGAGATTAAATATGGGTATTTTACTCATTTCCCATCAAATAACTAGTTAAAGTCATTTTTTTCTGTGTATTTGGTAATAATCTGGGCTGTGACAGGTATCATTATAAAAAGAACTGTATATCACTAAAACACAACTATCATACATAGAGATGGTGATTCAGTTGTCCTTTCACTACAAAAAAAAAAAAATACTAATAGTGGACACTGATAGTGCATATGGGTCTCAACTCAAAGACTGTTGGGAAAGAAAAAGGCTGAAAAATTAAAGGTTTCCCTTCACTCTAGGCCCTCTGATCTAACAATGATGCCAAACAAATGACCGACTACTGTTAGCAAGATGCAAGATCCTTCCGACAAACAAAAGGCACATGTTATGGTATCCACATATACCAAAATGATTATCAAATAAACCTTTTCTGACCATATCAATAAGTGATCATCAACCTTTGGGGATGTTAAGATAATATTAAAAGCAACTACCTCTACATTACTTGCTAAAACAAATAACATCTTAAAAATGCAATAAGCTTTGTGAGATAACAAAACTATGGTATTTGGTTATTGTGCCATTATAATATTTATTAAGATTACAAATGCATAGTCTGTGCCGACCAAACCCAACGCCTTCTCGCCTGCAACCTGCATGTGCAATTCAATCCCTAAAAGCCAATTCCTTGATTTCATTAAATTATACTCCCACCATTTATATTTTGTTGATACATAACGCAATGAGAGAGTGACGGAAGCTGGATTACGTCACATTAATTTAAACTGTTACGTTAAATTCTCTCGTTAAATTGTGGCGCGACTTTGCGAGTTGCTGCCATGGCTTATCTGGAGGATCGGGATAATTAAATGGTTTCTTCGGCTCAGATCATGAACTTCACTCCTTGCCTGGCCACTCTCACGCTCATTGTCACCCTTACAACAGTGCCATGACACTCACCCTACCAAGAATGAGGTGGAATCCGCGAAAAAGGGTGACTTTGCAGGAGAATTGATCCCTAGGTCTTGGGAGAGCACTATTTACACCCAAACACAAACACTGCCATGTGAGAGGCAGAGATGTCAATTATGCAATGAGAGTAGGGAGAAAATTGTTGTGCTCTACGGCTTGGATGCCCGTGCGGCGTGGAAATATTTCCAAGGTCTGAAATTCCGTGCGCCTCGTGGATTTGGAGTTTTACAGAATGTTGAGGGTTTTCAGGAGAGCGTGTTGGTGCGATGTCTGGCGGTTGGATGCGTTGTTGGAACCGGGAGTGACGTCAGGGCAGCCATGATGTTCTGAGACTCGCGGAGGAAAGACGCGAGTAAATGTGCTCCCCAGGAACCCGAGGCGGACTTTTTTCCGATTGTGCATTATGCTGCATGCTAGCTAAGCGTTCGTCATGCACGAAATCTGGAAAAGAAGGTGAATAAGAGTCGTATGAAAGTCGTAATGGGCGAGGTAGGCCAGTGAGCAGGTAGCGTGGTCATGTGACCGGCGCCAACCAATGAGGGCGCGAGTTGCCCGCGACGCTGACCAATGAGGGCGCGAGCTGGCTTGGCGCGTGGCGGCGGCGGCGGTTAGCGCTGCGAGAGCCGAAAGCGTCCGCGCCGTGTATCGCGCTCTATCATGGAGGGCCGGGGCCATCCAGCCCACCACGGCTACCAGCACACGCCCACGCCCATCAACAGAGGGTATTTCGCGCCCATCCCTCGTCTAGGATGAGAAATAATGGCACATGCCCGACATTACACTGAGCGTGTGTACGCGCCATCCGAGGTTGAGTCAGCCATAACTCTGTAGAAGCACAAGGAAAATTCTTTGGATCTGGCGGCGCTCTAAGGGTCACCATCGGCCGAGGCGCCCCAGCACGAGCACCCTTCACGGCAGGGGCGTCGAGGGCGGTTCCACGGGCGGCGGAGGCGGCGGGGAGGGTGCGGGCGCGGGCAGGGCGTCCTCCCTCGTCGCGGGCCCCGGCGCCTCTGAGCGCCGCCCGCCATTTTGAAGCCGAAGCCGTTATGGCCGACGCCACAGCCGCTGCCTTTGAAGTTTAGGGAGATTGCCTGCGCCGCGATGTGAGTGCCCGCCGCGAACCTGTGCCATTTTGTGCCGCAAGAGCTAGAGACTGTCTTGGAGTGCAAAGTGCCTTTCGAAGGGACTCGAGTGCCGAGAAAAGCGAGTGCGTAGAGTGCTGACGCTCCGTGCGCCGTGCAGGGAGCGATCCAGGGTTTGTTGTGCGAGGCGAATCCCTTTTTGCGGATTTGGGCCGGAGTCTAAGCACAAGCCCTAACACGAAAAGGATTTATCGGTGCTAAGGACGAGCTCGGTGTGTGTGTGCCCTTGGTGGGGGAAGTAGGTCGAGTGTGAGTGCGACCGAGGCTAAGGGACAGAGTGCATGTTTTGACCAAGGCCGTTGCCGCTGTTGTGTAAGAAAAAGTCTGCTTGGTGCTAGCCTAACCCCAAGGGATGTGGCCTTTGGTCCCTGCGTCAGATCTGGCGAGGGAAGGCATAGCATGGTAGTTCCCGATCCAGAAAGTACTCTGAAACATGCAGATAACAGAGGTGATGCCTGCTCTAGGGTGGGTGTAGGCCTATCCTGACGCCTAGGGAGCAGGGGATGCTTGTGCCTGAGGAGTTGTGCGATTGTTAGCCATTCGGGGTCTGAGTGCCTGGGGGGGTGATATTTATTGAGAAGTAGTTTGAAGTTAATAGTGTGTTTGGAAAATAGCATGTAGGCAGGAAGAGGGGGGGGGGGTTACTGAAGTTTGTTTTATTTATTTGCGATCTAGACTGTTCAGACCTCCTTTGTGAGTAAGCTGCTTTACGAGAGTATGGATCGTCTTGGTGCTTGGGAAGAATGCGTCGTAAATATTTTATCATTTAAAGTCATTTTGTTTACCAAGGAATATATAGCAAGTACATGTGCAATTTTAGTTTGTTTTTTTTTAGTCCACTGTCAGTTGATATTTATTTTTTTTCATATATGTATTTTTTAAATTCATGTGGTTTTTAAATTTTAATTCTGTTACTTGAAAATATATTGGCGTTTTTTAAACTGGGATTCCTTTTTAAACGAAATGATCCCAAGCAAAAATATTGGTAATCTTTCTCTTGGATTATGCAAGAACACTGCATTAAGACATAAAATAAATGTTAATGCTTAGAAGGTTTAAGTAGTTTTTTACCAGAAATGGGAAGGTTAACGTTTCACATTTTAACGTTCTAACCCAAAGTTCCATGAATATTCCATACATCTAATTTTGTTCATTGGATGATTGACTTAGAATTTTTATCATGAAAATGTTTTGTGATAGACAGATATTCCTTTTTTCTATCAGGAACCTTGATTTGAAAATTACTTTCTCGGTTCATGAAACACTGTTAAATTTCAATCAAGACTACCTTCTTTTGTAATTTTGGCAAGAGATCACACTAGATTTGAATATTTTGCATTCTTGTACTATGCTTAGCATTTACATTATTACTTAGTCAATTTACTCGGTAAATATTGCAAAAAAAAATAAATAAATAAAATAAATAAAATAAATGACCATCAAGCAATGCTGAATTAGTGTTATGTCAGAGACCAACAAACTACTACCTTTATTCTAGCAAGATTAGAGTACGGACTGTCTCTTTACTTTATAAGTTGACAGGAACAACTATTAGTATATTTGTGGTATAGGTGTACTTATCATTGTTCAGTTGTGGAAACCACCTTGCTTGATAAGTGATTGCAGGGTTAACTGTTGAATTTTCTGTTCACTTGGAATTTTAGCAATGTACTTCAAATCTAATTTTAATATTATTGAAGCCCATTCTGTTTCTCTACTTAATGCATGATTTCCTAGCATCATTTCAAGCTACATGCTTTGGCCACTTTGAGTGAATGAAAAGGGAATTGGAAAACTTATTCATAATAGCATATCTATTAAATTTAGAATCTGTGTAACACACAAGTTACAACAAGTTCAATCATATATGCATAGATACAAGCAACCCAGCGTCTGGTTTCAGTTTGCCATGGTGCGATAAGGCATTGTCTAGGTGATTGTGTAAATGATGAATTACCAACGAGGTCTACAAGCTATATGTTGCTAGAATATAAATGGTGTTAGTTGTTGCATTGGAACAAGGGCTCTGCTTCATAAGCAATATATGTAAAGCTATACTTATCGAACATTGCTTTATCATTAATCTTGATTATTACGTTATTTGTTACTAATACATTGTATTCACATTCAGAATTGTTGCCTCACTGTGAGTTGCCATGTGCCTGGCAAGTAATTAGATGACTACAAACATAGATTTTACAAATTAAAACTTGTGAACTTGTGTGATATAACTTTTACAGTTATATTGATATAAAGTCAAACAAAAGTCCATTTGTTTTATGCATAAGAACAGAGAACCTGAATATGAATATTAGCAGTTCATCCAGTATAATAGTATATGATTGGAAGGAGTTAATTGTCAACAGCAGGGATCAATAAACATAAACTGAAATGTGTAGAGATTGCTGGCTTATCAAGAAACCGAAAGTATTTTTCTGTGAATTAATATACAGCATTGCACTTGGATTATAAAATACCAGTAACCATTGTGATTACTGATCTCATTAGTCTGCTTTTGTTGGTGCTCTGGCAGAGACTACCAAGCCTCTTAAATGTATGGTATAGTCAGGCAAGACGAGTTGTTGACCCCCTTTTGTTTTACTCAGTAAAGAGGAGTCTACGATAGGTCTTTGCTAGAATATGTATAAATGAAGTTTGATGGCCTTCGCTAGAATGTAGAAGTTGTTAACAGTTACCCAATAGCTGGATTATCCATATTCCATTGGACAGATTATTTAAATTAAAACCTATTGACTGTGTAAGCTGGAATAGCAAATAAATGCTAAAGATGACTACTTTTAATAATGCATTCAGACCACCTAATGGTGTAATTTGAAAAGAAGAATTGAATATCATGAGCCGCATAATGCAGGAGAGCTTTATCCAATGCTACTGAGAAAACAATGTTCACTATTTTTCTTTGGTTAAATGTTTCTACACATAGATGGTCCCACAAGTGCTCAACTGCCAGGAAATTAATTAGAAGACTTTGTGACATGTAATTTCACCTTTCCTCAAGTTAGATTTTGGAAACCAGGAAAAAGGGCAAACATAGGACTCCTTTGTAATTAAGTATTTGTAGAGCCATCCATGTGTAAAGACATTAATAAGTCACAGTGAGTATGGCATGTCCATACATGTCATCCCTGGAAGCATTATATAATAATGTAAACATTTTCTTTTACCTCATTTCCTACCTGATTGTATTCTCTTGTACTTAAAACGGTTTAGCGGTAACTGGTTTATGGTAATCAGTTGCAAATTTAGAATTACAACTGTTCTTTGCAAAACAAATTTGGGGATTTGATACTGTAGAAACGAAGTTTGTAATGTGTGCTTTAAAGATTTATAGTTATTATCATATACCTAATATGATGTGTGTGTGTGTGTGTATATATATATATATATATATATATATATATATATATATATATATATATATATATATATATATATATATATATTTATATTGTGTGTGTGTGTATTATATATATATATAAAGGTCTTTTTTGTAGTATCTCCAATACCCTTAACACTGATATATTCTCAAACATTGATTGCCCTTTATGTAAACATAATTGAATAGGTTGAAACACCTTTTTTGGGTTGCATCAGTTTATAGGTCTGCCTTGTTACAATGTGATACACCCCTGCCAGCCAATCATAGTGCAATATTTTTTGATATATCAAGTTGTTTCAGATAAGGATTTATATTTTCATTGATTACATATCACATCTATCTTAAAGGTGCATTAAATATATGTGCCTTTTAACCAGTACATCAAATACATATTCACTCTTTATGAGTAAAATTTGAAATGAATTGTGGCGGTTTTTTGGAAGAGTAAGTTAAGAATTTCCAATGTGTCTGAATCATATGACATGGTATTGATTTTGTTAAGATGGATGTTTTCAGATTCATTCTATACCTCTATGATATAATGCTGCAGGCTGAGAATTTTCAAAGAAAAGGCTGTGTATCATTATGTGATAATATATTACAGACACTAAGACAGGTAAATGCCAGTGATCATTAGAATCATTCACTTATCTGAGATTTAGACTCCTTGTTGAAGAAGGAACTTACACCCGGTATATATGTTACCACAATCTTTTGGGGAGAAGGGTAGTGTGTATAAACAATACAAGTTAGAGAGTGATCGGGTGCTATTTTTTTCATTTTATTCAAATCTTCCAAAGCATCTGTCTTGTATTTTAAAAGCATACAAGCTTATTAATTAATTTCTTGTTTTTCTGTAGGCTTTATTTTATGAAATAAAGAAAAATAATCTGTAGTTTCAAATCTAAAGTCAGTACAAAATATAAGGAGTATGTTTTGTAGGGACCACAATGCAACATTAAACAATGCATCAAAGTTTTGGGCGATTCAGGATACTACTAAATGGCCTTTTATATGTGTGTGTGTAATGATATATTTATATATATTTATACATTATATATATTTGAAATATGTGTGGCTCCAAAGTACTTAAAATCTATGGAAAAAGGGCATGTGTTATTATTAGTTCTGTAAGGTTGTGATACCTTCTGAGATTACATAGCACGTATTTATCCTACAAGAACATTCAAGAGATTTGATTTACAAGCCTTTCATTGTTGGTTGTACCTTACCTGTTTTCTCCATTCCGCTCACAGGGACATAACGATGGAGGAGACAAATGGTGGAGCAATGCAGGTGGACTCTCCTCCCAAGGTGGGGGGAACAGTGGAGCCTCCCCCAAGAGAAGAGCCCATTCTGGATCCTGTGAATGGCATTGTCCAGCCTCCTTTCTCCCCACCCCCTCATAGACCTGGACGTATCACAAATCAACTTCAATATATACAGAAACAAGTCATGAAAACTGTTTGGAAACATCAGTTTGCATGGCCATTCCATCAGCCAGTTGATGCTGTGAAGCTCAATTTACCAGACTACCACAAAATAATTAAACATCCTATGGATTTGGGCACGATCAAAAAGCGGCTTGAAAATAAATATTACTGGAGTGCCAAAGAGTGTATACAGGACTTCAACACTATGTTTACTAATTGCTATGTGTATAATAAGCCTGGTGAAGATGTAGTGTTAATGGCACAGACCTTAGAAAAAATATTTTTAACTAAAGTGGCAGCTATGCCCAAGGATGAAATTGAGGTAGAAGATGCAACAAACAAAGGTGGGAAGGGTCGAAAGGGCCGGACACCAGCAGTGCCTGGAGCCAAGCCACCTAGGCCACCCGCTCCGGCATCTGCCCCTTCTGTGACTGCTCCAGCTCCAGCTCCGGCAGTCACAGCACCACCTGCCATGAGTGCTGTTAGCGTTGGGAACATTACCGGCACTAGCTCACCAGCCCTCTCCAATTCTCTCACCTCGCCACCCACAGCAACTACCATGGGGTCATCTCAGCTGCCACTGCCAATCAGTGCCACCACTCCTGCAACTCAAACTACTGTGCTGGGCTCCACTGCTCAGCCCACCGTCCCAGCACCAGCACCCACTAACTCTTATCCACCTGTGAGTATGTTGCATGTCTGTTAATATTTTGTGGACTACATTTGAATATTCAATTTTTTCTTCAAAACTGCCAGTTCTTGTTTAGGGATTTTGATTTATGGTTTTGTAGCCTGAGCTGTGTCATGGATAATGTTTGCATATGCATCTAATTAGGCAAGAAATTCCCACAACCCAAAAAAAAAAAAAATACCTTTATCAGGGTCTGGATTTGCAGTTGTGATATATTGTGTATGTGGTAATTGTTAGATTTTGCAACACTGGAATTGTGTGGTCTTTTATGTCTCTAATAGTTGATAGTTAACCATGGAGATTTTGCATTAGAATTCAGAATAATTTAGGTTCTAAAATACATTATTAACAGAGAGAGTGAGTGTATGCGCATGAGTGTTTGTATACATATGCTTGTGTTTCAGAATGTACTTGAATGCATGTCATTGAAATGGTTACTCACCCTGGTCCTTGGTCGTTGACAGATGATGGAAAAGACAAAAAATTAACGATTAGCCAAACTGATCCAGATGTTTAATTCTTATAATAGAAATCAGTTATTAAGAACTGGTTTTGGATGTAGATGTTGTCAAATATTTAAGAATATTGGAAGAGTGAATTATATTATGCCCCCCCCCCCCCCCCCCCCCAAAAAAAAAAATATATATATATATATATATATACATATATATTTCATAATGCAAAGAAATAAACAAAAAATGTTTTTTCATTTTTACTTTCATATAGTTCTTGAAATATGTACTCTTTTCATGCCAAGCTTCTACAACACCAACACTACCACAGCTTTTGCTTAACTAGAGCTGTTTTATTGTCTATTCAAACAAGCTTTGATATACGTGTGTGTGTGTGTGGTTAGTATTTATTTATATTTATTTGTGTTTATGCATATTATACAGATACATGTATATGTATACATATATACGCGTGTGTGTATGTATATATATACATATACATAAATACATACATACATACATGTACATATACATATACATATACTATACATATATATTTTACACACATAAATGTGTGCGTGTGTGTTTATATATGTAATACATTTATATATGTGTGTGTGTGTGTGTGTGTATATATATATATTTATGTGACCCCCCCAGATGGTCTCAATGGAGTTAAGGTCTGGGGATTTGCCTGGTCATTCTTTTATTTAGTCAACACCAAATTACTAGAACCATTCCTTCATTAATTTTGATATGTGGTGCAGTGTTTTCTTGGAAAATGTTGGATTTGGATATGGCCAAAGCAGTCTCTAGGGTGTTCAAAGAGAGCTCCCAAGTAGCAGTCCTTGTCCACAGTCACATTCCTCAGCATTGCAACAAGCTTCCCTATACCAGGGTACCCAAAGGCATTGAATAAGGGTGTTTGATTGTGGCTTACAAGCACTTCTGCGAATATGAATCCATGCCTCCTTCCTCTGTTTCCAGTCACTGTAAAGGTCACCTCATCAGTCCACAACACATGCTCTCATCTCTTCAGGTCCCAATCCAATTATTGCTCATAAAAAATTTTGTTTCTTGGTAAGCAATGGTTTTGTTGCTGCTGACTGTGTTCATATGAGAGGTCAACTTGGATGTGGTGCTGGATTGCACAATTGTTTGCCTCCCTCAGCAGTAGTTGATTATTTTCCTTTATTTCTTTTATTATTTTTACAGTTCTCAGCCTCCACTTGACATGAGAGATGATGATTTTGTGTGGGGGAGGGGTCTCCCAGTCATATTTGTGAAGGGGTAGATTCTCGCTGTTAGCATCTGTGATCTTCTTAGACTAGTGCTGGACTCTTCAAAGTTCAACTCTGGTTGGCATGGAAATTTCCTAGTTAATGTTCCCTTAAACATTCCGGGATGCAATAGCTGCGATTTTCTTTTGAGAGCATTGTTTCTCGAAGCATTGTCTGTATGCAAACCAAAATGAGGAAGTGGGTGGCATAGAAAAAAACACATGAGTGTAATCACAAAAACTCATCCTTAACATTTATTTCTAAATATTTTCAAAAGTAATAGTTCTGGATGGAATAAATAGTTAGAACCATGGGTGCTATACAAAAGGATATTAGATAGGCTCATGATGCTTCAGATGGAACAATTTCCTGTTAGAAAATAAACATACAGAAACATTGTTCTAGCTCTATATTTTATTTCAATATTACGTATGAAAATCTATTTGAAGAGATCCTGTTACATATCTGGGGCCACTCCTTTTCATTTAGCCTGGCCCAGACAGGTCACATGTAACAACAGCCTCACAAACTGCTTGGTCTGCGGGCTATGCCTGTACACACGGTGACGTGCCAGAGCATGGAACAGGGCATTCCATTTTTTATTGCAGACTCCTGCACCCAGTGTCAGGCTGTTGCCAGAAATCACCTGAGTTTATCACGTTCTGGGATTTCTGTTCACCCAGTGGGAATGGGTTAAGGAAAGGTGGTTTATCTTGCAAATGGTGCCACAAACAGCTACATGTCGAGTTTGCTTAGGTATCATAAGCTGCCAAGAAAGATTAAATGGTCTAGCCAGTTTGGTTTTAATGCTAGTACTCCCCATGGAAAGAAGAAAATAGCTGTCTTGCTTCTTTTCTATGACACAAACAGTTTTTTTGTTTTTAGAACATGAAATGCTTAAAAACAACCCTTGTACTTCAATTTGAATTGAAGCATATATTTTTCCGTATTTACTTTGTATTTCTTACTATCTTGTCACTTCTTTTCCCATTCCATAATTTTTGGGTTATTCCAAGCCATAGCATTTATTTGAAGTTGCAGTGTTTCCTGGTATTGTAAAGCAGGGTGATTTCATATCTTTGGATTAATTTTATTGCAGGTAAAGAGACAGCATTACAGGTTCTTAATGGGTTGCAGTAATCTTGTTATATTTGATATATATTTTTTAAATATTGTTATTTTTCTTTTTCTTTTTAATAATAATAATTAGAAACAAACCCTATCCGTAAACTTTCAATAGTATTTGTTAATGAAGGACCTAGTTTTCTCTCTCTCTCTCTCTCTCTCTCTCTCTCTCTCTCTCTCTCTCTCTCTCTCTCTCTCTCTCTCTCATACACACACACACACACACACACACACACACACACACACACACACACACACACATTGAATTATATTGAGCAAGTGTTGTGTATATATAATTTCAAATAATAGTCCGCAGGATTAAACAAAAAAATATTTAGTTTTATTAGTGGGGTGCCAGTTATTTTTATAAATCTTCTTGCTTTTTGTATCATAATTTTTGTTGCCTTATTGGATCCAGAAAAGGAAAAGGAAAATTGTAATTTGAAGTTTTAATACAGTAGGAAATGTGAATAGGGCATATAGTGAAGGTATTTATATATCAATATGCAAGTATCATTGTGTTTTTTAATGGTTTATTTTGAGATTAGAATGAAAGTAGTACAGTATTGTTTATTCAGACTAATAAATGTTACAAAACTTGGGTCTTGAATGTCATGATTGTTATAAATGAATTGGTAGTTAGTTGCACACATATTTATGTACTGGATTACTTCTGGTAACTTTCTCTAATCTTTTTCTTTTAACTTTAAGTCACTTGTGGTGGGATGGTTTATTCACTGTAACTTTAGTATATTAATTGTCTTTAACCCTTTGATGACGGGTGAATGGGGAAAAAATATGCTCTGGGGATCAATGGCAATGCACCGACTTTGAGCGTGGGTGTTCGGTACATCAAGCCAAATCACTGGCTTATAGCGCTTTGGCGTGCCGCTGCAGCATACAGTCACACGCCACATCGAGCGGTTTGTTAGGACACCTCAGGGCGTGACCTGTCGGCACCACAAATGCTTAGGGTATACCCCCACAGAGTTCATCATACATGAAGATCAATTGCCATAAGTTGATGTGACTATCATGTCATGAAATAATTTGACTTGAGGGCTGGTGACATGAACATGCTATCATGGAAATTTTTGGCAGAGGGCCGGGGTGAAGGGAACTTTGCCTCAGGAGAATTTGGACTAAAAGATGAGGTGACAGGAATAACTTAGCAGAAGTGCACAAAGCTCTTGGAGGGTGATTAGACTCAATGGCCATTTAGAAAGAGGCTCATGTATTATTTCCATTGATAAGTGAGTATGAAATATAACATCCATAACCCATGAATGGAAGAGCACTGGCTCCAGGGAGGACGCTATATCCATACTCGGGATCCTATCCCTGTTCAACATGACTGATGGCATAGGTTGTATTAAAGAAAACAGTATGTTACGAGAAAAAAAACTAACAATATGTTACTGTTATGATTATTGCCCAGAGTTATGGACTATTTAGAGAAATGATATAGAATTTGTGCAAGGAAAATAATCTATGAAATAAATTGTTAAATTTAAGAAATATAGGGAAATTAAAAAATAATAATGATGATAATAATAAAACACTCGAATACACCAAGTGCCCATATTTTGGACTATGTAGGAGCATGAAGCAGCCGGATCCAAGGGTTAACTCCTTGGATCTGGGCATAAGGCTCATTTCAGTGCCATTCACGGGTATGTGGCTTGTGTAGGAGGGCACACAAACACTCGTTTTTGGTCTCAAGACTCCTTGCCTTACCTTTACAGTATTATAATCTTTTTTCCTGCGTTAGCTCTTTTCTCTGTCTCTTTTTCCTTCTTTCTTTGCCTTTTTTCAATGTCTATCATTTGTTAAGCAGTTTCAAGATGACAATATATATATAACAATAAATAACATCTTGTTACTTGTCATATTTTGATTTTATAATACTCAAATTTCTGTAATAGAAACTGTACTGCTGGTCACGGTAGGCTGGAATAGGATCCTAAACATGGAAATAGTGTCTTCCCTGGAGCTGGTACTCTTCCAGTCATAGGACTAGTGCAAGAGCCCCTTCCCAAATATCCTAAGCATCCTTTAACCCCTTACCGATGGGCCACACACCCAGACATCATAACAAACCACTTGATCTGTGGAGTGCGGCTGTACGCCACAGCGACACACCAAAGCACTATGAGCCAGGGGTTCGGTTTGATGTAGCGAACTCCCGCGCTTAAAGTCAGCTCATTGCCATTAATCTCCAGAGTGTAGAGTTTTCTTTTCTTTTCTTAACATGTCAGTAAGGGGTTAACCTCTTCCCGACGGGTCACGCCTATAGGCTTGAAATATGGCATGCGGCTGTACACCGCAGCGAGGCGATGATGCGACTTGATGTACCGAACTCCCACACTCAAAGTCTGCATGCTGCAATGATCGCCAGAGCAGAGTTTTTATTAGTTTTCTTAACCCGTTGCCATTGGGTTAAGAGCTTTGTGCACTTGTTATTCTAGCCTCCAGTCAAAATTCTTATGATGGTATTTGTGGGATATGATGTATGAAGGAATGAATTATCGTATTCAAAAAATGGTAATAAATAAAGTAAAATGAAGTATGTCCAATTTCTCTCTCTACGCTCTGGAGATTAATGGCTATGAGCCGACTTTGAGCACTGGAATTCACTACATCAAGACGAGCGTCCTGCTCAAAGTGTTCTGGCTTGGTCCAGCAGAACCAGGTTAACAGTGAGTCATAAAACAAGCTCTCTCACTCCATGAATTGTCCATCTTCAAAGTCATCCACTTGGGCTTCTTTATAAAAGATAATTAGAATATATAATCACGTCAATTATGACAATATTGATGTTAATAATATTAGTTAAAAAAAAAAAATTAATTAAATCCTGAAGATTCAAGGAAGGGAGAAATAAGGAAAGATCTCATAGGGTCTGCTAATTGATTCCAATGAGCACTTGAGCACGTAAAAAAAGTTCATACTATATGTACACTTCTCCAATAGGTTATCGTAGAAAGTTTGGCAAAATTCTGGCATTCAAGATTTATAAAGTAGCATATAATGATGCATTTGACCATTCACTGTATTATTTATATTTTACTACATTAGTTGCCAGTACAGAGGAGAGAACAAAAAGTATTATGAATATGCATCAAAAGTAAACTTTACATCAACCCCTTTGCTGCATCACAAAACTCATGAGTTTCCTCCAGGTCTGATCTACAAAGAGGGAGAGAGAGATATAAGGCCTGTATTACCCCCATTGGATCTGGTTGCTTTGCTGTCTGTATTTGTCTAAAACCTGGCCATTAGGCTTAATTGAGTGATGACTCCCATGTGTGTTGCTTGCCTACACAAACACAAATGCAGTGTCAAGACTGCTTGCCTCTCCTTTGCAGTGTTATGTCTTTTTATACATAAATATATTTTGTCTTTTTCTCCCTTTACCAAGATCAATATTTATTATTTGTGGTGTACCAAGACGGTAATAAACTTTTCCTACCAAGATGATAGTAGACTGTTTAACCCAGTTTGATTATGTCCACTATCTTCATGACCCATTATGTCCATTATATATATATATATATATATATATATATATATATATATATATATATATATATATATATATATAATGTATATGTATGAAAGTTCATTTATTATTATTATTATTATTATTATTATTAACCCTTTCCCGTTAACAAACCACTCGATCTGTGGTGTGCGGCTGTATGCCACAGCGGTGCACCAAAGCACTACGAGCCAGTGATTTGGTTTGATGTAGCGAACTCCCACATTCAAAGCCGGTGCATTGCCATTGATCTCCAGAGCATAGAGTTTCTTCTTCGTTGTCGTCTTCTTTCATCAAGGGGTTAACCTATTGGATGCAGTTGCATCATGGCAATTAAACAAAAAGAAATAAAACTAAAATAAAATAAAGAATTAATAAATCAGGGCATTGGGCTTACATGAGCAGCTGCTCTGCTGGGTGAACATGTGGGTGTAGTGACTAAGACTGTTATTTACTCTTTTTATGCATAAGCGTTTTTAGCTTCCTGGCCATTTTCCAATGATTTCCATAATGTATCCTGGGCAGGGATAGAAACCTGAGCATGGAAATAGTGTCTTCCCGGGAGCCGACACTTCCAGGAATAGCACGTGGGTTCTTCATTTACCGATGGAAATAATGCCCACCGAGTCTAATCGCCTTCCAAGACTGTCTGTTCATGGGGAGTCATTCCCATTACCCCAGACTTTGGGGGGGGGGGGTTATGTGGCGGCATACTCCCATCACCCAGCCCTCAGCCAGCTTTTCATGATACAATCACGTCACCTGGATCTAAGGGGTTAATGGGTGGTAGTTATAATACCATAAGTACCCTCTATGGAGGACATGCTGCAGCAACCATTGGGAGGGAAAACCAAATGCACAATTGTCTCCATGTAAGACTGCTGACTCTTCTCCCTTTTATGGCCCTTTCACAAAGCCCTTTTTCTTTGTTGGGTCAATGAAAAAAATAAATAACACTGCTTACCATGTATGTGCCATTCTAAATTGTACAATATTATATAGTTTGAAGTGAAGGCAAGTTATAGAAAGAAAAGCTTACAAGCAAGTCCCAACGTTAACAAACCACTCGATCTGTGGTGTGCGGCTGTATGCCACAGCGGTGCACCAAAGCACTACGAGCCAGTGATTTGGTTTGATGTAGCGAACTCCCACATTCAAAGCCGGTGCATTGCCATTGATCTCCAGAGCATAGAGTTTCTTCTTCGTTGTCGTCTTCTTTCATCAAGGGGTTAACCTATTGGATGCAGTTGCATCATGGCAATTAAACAAAAAGAAATAAAACTAAAATAAAATAAAGAATTAATAAATCAGGGCATTGGGCTTACATGAGCAGCTGCTCTGCTGGGTGAACATGTGGGTGTAGTGACTAAGACTGTTATTTACTCTTTTTATGCATAAGCGTTTTTAGCTTCCTGGCCATTTTCCAATGATTTCCATAATGTATCCTGGGCAGGGATAGAAACCTGAGCATGGAAATAGTGTCTTCCCGGGAGCCGACACTTCCAGGAATAGCACGTGGGTTCTTCATTTACCGATGGAAATAATGCCCACCGAGTCTAATCGCCTTCCAAGACTGTCTGTTCATGGGGAGTCATTCCCATTACCCCAGACTTTGGGGGGGGGGGGATTATGTGGCGGCATACTCCCATCACCCAGCCCTCAGCCAGCTTTTCATGATACAATCACGTCACCTGGATCTAAGGGGTTAATGGGTGGTAGTTATAATACCATAAGTACCCTCTATGGAGGACATGCTGCAGCAACCATTGGGAGGGAAAACCAAATGCACAATTGTCTCCATGTAAGACTGCTGACTCTTCTCCCTTTTATGGCCCTTTCACAAAGCCCTTTTTCTTTGTTGGGTCAATGAAAAAAATAAATAACACTGCTTACCATGTATGTGCCATTCTAAATTGTACAATATTATATAGTTTGAAGTGAAGGCAAGTTATAGAAAGAAAAGCTTACAAGCAAGTCCAAATTATGTTGAAAAATGTTACAAATGTATGTGTGTGTGTGTGTGTCTCTGTGTGAGAGAGAGAGAGAGAGAAGGAAAACAGCCACAGTAAGAAATGAAAATTGTGACATATCAAACTCTTTAGAAGTTACTCTTCAAACAAAAAATAAACCAAATGGATCAGGTATGATTTCTTACTGCAGCCATTTCCTTTTCATCTTTGTCTACACATTACTCTGTGTATGTGTGTGTGTGTGTGTGTGTGTGCGTATGTACGTACACACA